TGAGCACTGTTTGTGGCTGCACTTCATAGTTACACTTGAGACACGCTAATTTATAAAAGCGGGTGCCATACAATGGGAAGTGGCAAAGCTAAATCACAAAAACTCTAGGGGGCAGCTTGGCAGATGTAGTGTAGCGGCAAGTGTTGCACTAGCACACACACACACGTCACAGGTTCAACTCCCGGATCGATATCTGTCGAGGATTAAGAATAATTATATTTCTGCGGGGTCAGTTAATTGGTACCAGACTCGTCTGGGATGATAAAAGGATGACTTATAAATCGGCTCGCCACCGTAGGTCATTGTATAGGCAACGCATGCATTCGATACATCATTATGTTCCTGAGTGGAAGCCGAATGCATGGCGTATCCCTCAGACGGGGTTGGCTAACGCCATAAAGACATTGAAGGCTTCATAGCATATACCACGGCGAAAGCTTAACCCTTCTGAGGACCAGCTTTATGTCGCATATCGAAAGGTCATACAAACTCTTAATAGATAAACCAGAGCTACATTTTTATTACTGCAAATCAACCTCATTGTCTTCACCTGAAGCACTTAGCCGCATAGTAACCGTTTGCGGGTATTGCCCGAATGTAGCCACATCCTGGATCTCGGAGTGTTCTCGAGATTTTCGTGATTTACAGTTGTGTTCCCTCATACGAGAACCTTGTCAGGATAAGTATTATCGGCTAAAAGTTTTATGTGGTTCTCGGATAAACAAAAATCTTTATTACCGCCAAAAAGGATACCGAAATCATGTAGAAAATTCGGGAAGAAAATGTTTGAAATGAAAATCGCCATTCTGAGATGTGGTATCACGACTCTTCAATTGGTCACTATTTCGGTGCAGGCTCTTGTTTGGGCTCAGCCTTCGATTGCTCAAGTGTCTTCTGAAAAAAACGCCCTTCAGTCTTTTTTTTTGTGCTAGTATAAAAATTTTAAAAAGGTGCCTTTTCTATCACGGTGAGTATTAGTGGCACACTAGAGAGACTGGGAATGGGCCAATACTTTTCCTAACTTGTTCAGTTCACTCTTATTGACTCATGGACTGACCATGAGGGGATCCGTTATGGGGCACTAGTCAAATACCAAGGCGAACTCAGTCAAAGTGTAAGCAGAATGACTTGTATTGAGATACAGGATTCAAGTGAACAAAGGGTAGACGTAAGGATTATGGTGGGAGTCCCGATCCGCTTACAGCTCGCAGGAACCTTAGCTAGTCGCCCTGTTTCTCGACATATCACTGCCGTTCGAGAGTTTCAACAGCCATGTGCCTCAGAACAGAATAGTTCAGTAAACTCAGAGCTTAGGTAAAACCGGTAAGTAGGGGAGGGGGGAGGGGGCGGGGTTCGTAAACTTTGGCACGATGACAAATAGAATGCATTGAGTAGAAATGGTTGTCGGGTCCCCATAAATATTCACCCTAATCAAACGAATGATGGCGGAACCAGGTTAGTTCTGCACCGTACCTTTTCGGATAGATATTATGCCCAAACCTTCCATATAAATAAGATAGTAAATCTAGTACCGCTTGCACAGGTGCCGCTTGAATAGCCGTAGCTGGCGGTGTCACTTGAGTAGCGGTGGCCAACGTAGGCGTAGCTGCAGCAGACGGAGGCACAGCTGTAGAAGAAGCGGTGCTCATTGAGTTCACAGGAGTAGCTGGAGCCACCGGAGCAGCTTGGACTGGAGCAACAGCTGCTGCAGTCTTGACAGCAGAGTCTGAAGTTTGGGCAGATGCTGGTGCAGTCGGAGGTGCCGAACCCTTTGACGAAGTGGCCTTCACAATTCCAGCAAAGAACGGATTAATCGAGGGCTGTAAATGGCTTTTCAGGAGTAAAGAAAAGATCTGTGTACAGCCATCTAGCACTCACCACCCCAGAACTTGTAAGATTTTCAAAAGTTGTCGAACTAGTAGCTTGGGAAGTTTTTGGGAGGGAACTGCCGGTCCCAGCGGCTTTTTTGTCATTCCTCTCCTTAAAATGTTCTTCATCAAATGCCATCAAATGTTCAGGTTTTAAAAAGGGCAGGCCTAACTTCTTCATACATCCCTGGGCTAATGTAACCCTTAGTTCATTCGGTTGCGGTCAAAATGAACCAATTCTCTCGCACAAACCAGTTGCTGTTTGGGAATGCGCCACACATACGATATCAGTCCGAAATCGTAGTGGTTTTGAATGGTTATGACCTATACATTGACTTGCGGTAGTCACTCAATGTACAAGACAGAGTTTTTACCCTCCCAGATGAGTCTGCTACGGGCTAACCCGCCCAGGAAGGATGGCTGGTCTGCTTGGGCAGGGCATGATTCGGGATCCGATCCCTCGGCCATGCGTATGATAGAGCGCCGCTTACCAGTATACAACAATGTCCAATTAATGCTATATCAAGTATAACTTCTCTAATGGATAATCCTGTCGCAACCGAGTTTCTCGGAATCTCAAAGCTTACAGCCTGCTTGTTGAGCTTCGTCAAGAAATCGCGAATATCTTTCGCGAGACGAGCCGACTCCGCTTTCGATTCGTCGAGCAGCGTAGGTGATCGTGAATAGTCATCCAATATAGCGATCGCTTGAGTAAGTACCATCTAAATTCGTTTCATGAGACTCCGTACTGCACACAAGTCCTACTTACTACTTCGGAACTAGCAGCTCAAGTTTTGTGACAGACAATTTAACGGTCACTTGAAACCTGGTCTAAGCTGTTCAGTGCCAAGCGAAGAATCTGGTCGATCTAAGCTGGAGGTCCTTTTTGAAATGCAGTTGCTGGGAAGCGCTTTTACCCACTGCACCAGTGGGGTCTTTCAAGGGCTATTCAGTGAGATATCACAGCTTAGAACTACATATTCGCATTCTATAGTGCATTTTGAGCGTAGTGTACATACTAGATGGACTCGAGGTATACCGTGAAAAGATGATCTTCCTAAAAAGTAGCGACTGACACAAGAGGGGAGAGCGCCAGGTCCTGGAGTCAAAGTGGCCCAAACTTTCCTGCGCACCCTCGTCCTGCGCACTGTTTTTGAGTATAGCAGTAGCGAACAGCCTCATCTTCTTCTTTACATAGTTCCTTTAATTACTGAATAACACCAAAGTATCTTACAATGTTGTTTTTGGGATCGTTCTTCACTGTTTCTGACTTGAATGGACTCCTGAACAAAATTTTTGTATTTCGAGTCTTCAACCCGGTGGGCCAGATCTGCTGCCAACTCTGCTTTAGTCTCTAAGTGAGCCTGATGTCACTTCTCTACTTCAGTGGCTCAGAAGTTCACATTCTGATCGAGTTTTTCGCTCATCCACTCCGTATTTTTATTTTTTTCAGACAGTTATGGTGCAGAACGACTGTCGTGGGGAAGTTGGAGGTACTATCTATCTCGATCAGAAGGTAGGGAATGTATAGCAGCTCCGCTATGTCTAGTCGTTCATTTGAACCAGAGAATCCTACTTCAATGAATCGGTTTTCTCAGTCTTCTTCTGATCGATCTGCGACTTTTCACTCCATAACTCCGTCACATAAGCAAGCCTTTTGTTAGCCTGAATCAGGTGTGCTCTGATCATCAATTAGACCGCTGTCACTCTCACGAATTGGGCAAGACTTTTTTGTCCACTTTAGAACAGGTAGAGCTACCACTCGAGCATAGACTCACCATGGACACGATCCCTTGAGCCCGCTCCTTGCTCAATGCGATCTTCTTACGCAACTCTGCAATCTGAAACAACTACCATCATCTAGACCGAAATCCCTAGTGACTTTGGAAGCTTCCCAAAAGCTTTTTATACTTCCAAGGGGCCTTCCAAGTGCCAGACCATATTAGTATGGCATAAATCATAAACCACAGAGCCAACCTTTTCTGAAGTATCGCCTTGAGCAACGAGGTCAGCATTCAGTTGTCGAATTCTTTCATGTGCTTTACATAATTGGACCTCCTCATCCTGAACAATGAAGTGAAGTAACTTCAGGATTTCAAGCGTTAGGCAGAGGTGGATCGGCTCTAGAAATCAAGAAGGAGGAACTTATTGAAACCAAACCTCTGCCATTACGTTGAATTGCTGCTGCCCGCACGAGATGTTATATGCAAGCAATGGAACCTCACCTTGGTCTTAATGCTTCAGTTGATATGCAGCTCTATGTTTGTTTGAGATATCAGTCCAGTAGATACGGTTCGATTGCTGAACCACTCTTATCATTTTTAATCACAACTTACTGTTCATAGTATTCAACCTAGAGCACTACCCCTGCCAGCCCAACCATAAGTCGCCTAATAGTCAGGTTTCGTTTCTCGGGAACCACTTGCCTTCGGAACTAGGCAATACATAGCAGGGAAGTCGATTCAGTGAAACTTCAAATGAGGGACGACAGGCAAGTAATGCCGCTACCGTACCCATGGTAAAGAACAAAACTGCGGATCAATTTCATCTGAGCCAGTTCGCAGTTTTCATTCCGTTGTAGTAGATCTCCCCTTGCCAGATCAACCTGGAGAGTCATCTTGTAAATAAGACAGCTCTCTAAGTATGAATAGACAAACGTTTGAATTGGATTTTCAAATACCTCAACGTTTCTGTTTAAGAGTAGGATTTGATTTCATGGCGCATTCTTGGAAACGATCAGTTGCAACCAGTCTGCTCTATCTTGTGATATTTTGAATTTTTCCGAAGCTCGGATCGGTATCCGCCTAGCCAATCAAGCCTTCCATCCTTCCGNCATAAATATTCACCCTAATCAAACGAATGATGGCGGAATCAGGTTAGTTCTGCACCGTACCTTTTCCGATAGATATTATGCCCAAACCTTCCACATAAATAAGATAGTAAATCTAGTACCGCTTGCACAGGTNGGCCACCGCAAGTCATTGCATTGGCCACATACACACTCTTTACGCCACTACGATTCTGAATGGAAGTGCGGGGGAGCATACCTCAGACGGGATTGATTAACGCCAAAAACTTTAAAACTTTAACTTTTTATGTTTCGCAGCTGCCGAAGTTGGTGATATGGAATGAAATCAGATTTCATAAGGAAATCAGGGCAAGCCCATTTTCCATGACTTTAGTGGATAAAATGGTGGAATTACTTACGAGATGATTGAAAGGCTCTGAAGCTCAAAATGGAAACAACGGGCATCGTGCATAATTTGTTTCTAAAGTACTGATCTGTCATAATGCCATTACACTGTATGGTCAGATTTCATAAGCCCTGCATCAATGCTCATGCTCTTTTTGACGCCCATGACGCCCATACGAAGTCGTTCTAATGAATTCATTTTGAAGTTTCATATTCAGGGTGGCCCCTCGCATGACTGACCCAGGGATCGACTCGGACCTTGATTACGGATTTTTGTCCAATTTCACTCCTGTATATTTCCTGTTTCATTGGATATTCAAAAGGTAACCTAACCGAGAGTACAATTTTGATGGACGAGGTAGTGCTGCAGAAGAGCACTTGTTTATTACTGTTAAGGAAGATTTTGATGGTAGTTTTAGTTTTAAGACGAAAGTAAACGCATAAAAGTCATTTTTATCATACGGTTTGCCTCATGATAGGTTTACCTCTCTTCTCGACACTGTATGTTACAGGAGGCGAGTTCCGAAAGGTGATTGCAATCCCACAAATAAATTGATAAACATACCCCTACTGGGAAACTTTTCTGCAAAATATTAATACTTCATCTGAATTCAGTACAACTTCATCGATACGTTTAGCAGGGGTACATCGAATGGTGCTATGTCCCCGATGAGGTGTTGTCGGTCGCCCGAATATCCATCAGGCTACAATGCAGTAGACATCAGGTCATCCGAGTCTTTGAGGGTGTCGGACCAACGGACCTATTTATTCGGGGGTCACCAGGTACAGGACCACTACTAGTCAACCTGTCCACGTTAGGCGTTCGGGAATGCTAAGCCTTTAAAAAAAGCTCTTCTGTTTCTCTACTTCCGGAATTTGCAGTCATGACAAATATTAATTCCACTAATTTTTTTCTATAGAATAACAAAGTCCCATTTTTGACTAATTGTTAGAAAGATGTTTTTTGAGCTCATTTAGTTCTATATATATTTACATAGGGTTAAAAAAGGGCGTGTTAATTGCAATTAGTCATCTTTTGAGTAAAAGTAATCAATGCATGATCATCAAGACATGATAAATACCCCATTGTTTTTCTAAAATTAGAAGCGTGTCAAGGCATATCAACCCCCTCTGCCCCACATGTTTTCAACAACAGTAGCGAAATTCCAGCCTACTTCTCGTAACTTCTTAACAAATGCGATGTTTTGCTAGTTTCTGTTTACTAAGTCGATTTCCCACCAGTGTGGGTGGTATCGACCGCTTGCTTTTCGTGGACCTTTGGCCACCGTAGTAAGGAAGAGCGTTGCGTGGCGTATACTACGCGGCGGTGTAGGATAAAGTAAAAGCAAGGGACCGTCCGTTCACATATTTCCGACTTAGGTTATCCTAACTAGCTTTAACAATGAATATAAAATACTTTTTACAGAAGATTTCGGAAAAGGGAATTTATATGGAAGATTTTTCAGAATTTTTAAAAGCTTGCTTTTTAAAAAGAGGCGATATTGGCTTTACAGCTGGATCCCATAACAAATATTATCAAAACGATTACTTTTGAGAAAAGCTGAGGGAGTCATGCTTTTTTCGAGCCAAAAAGGGGAAATTGAGTATTTAGACCAGTTACCACCTCAATCGTAAATAAGAAAGTGCTCTTTGGTTTTTCTTGCACTTTAGCGCTTGCACTTTTGCACCCAGTGATTCTGCCCTGTTGTTGTTCTTTACTCTCAGTACTCTAAATTCTCTACCTTTAATTAAGAGATTCTTTGATATGCTGAGCAATCTTCTGAAAAATCCCATAACCAAAAACAGCAAAAAAACATGCAAGGCTACTACTAAGTTTTCCAACCCATCAGAGACAAATGTAATCCTTTTGAAACAGTAAAAAACAAGAAATGATTTCATTGATTTTTTTTTCGAGCTGTGTTCCGATTTCCGATTTTCCAGTTTTAATTTTTCCCCATTTTTATCAGAATAGCCATAAAAACTAGAAGGTCAAGTCGAAAACTTGACTTTAGAAGTAAAAACTACTTTATGACATTGAATCGAGCTCTTCAATTCAGTAGCACAGGGATCAGGAATGTAGACCTTTTCGAGTTCGATTGCTCTGTGCCATTCCTAAGTCTCTGGATGGTTCTCTGATTCTCTGTTCATTTTGCTTCTATTCATTCCCTACACAATTTCATACGATGCGATCTATTACTACTATTATTACTATTTGTACCGTATCCTTTTTACCGTATAGATATAGTATTCCAGATGCTATCTTCTATAACACCACGACTCGTCTCCAGACAATGTTTGAATAGGATTATTGCAATCAGATACGCATCAAAGGGAATGAAGCTCGATGTTGGTATTTTACTAAATTTAATTTTTTTGATTTTTTTTCTACTATTTTTTCCCTTGCGAATCATCACATATTTTTGAACAAAAAATTGAACTGTTTCTGTCTGTTCATAGGGAAAGCAATCGCTAACGATTGATCCATCACTTGGACATTTTAAATACGAAAGAGACATTTCTCGGGATCCTCGCTACAATCAACCTCAGAAGCCTGGCGATACTCCTACCAGGTAAAGAAGAACAATGCTTCAATTGAAAAATAATTTAAACAACATGTTTGTTAGGTGATTAGGAATCATTCAACGGGAAACCACTATGTTGTTTTATTAACTTTACAAAACTGAAGAACTTATATGGGTGTGAGTCTCTGCCCTGACTCACCGACGGAGGTTTCCAATGCTCATTTCATGTAACGAGTTAGCGAGAGAGAACTTGAAGGAGCTTTTTATTTTCCATCATCAATTATGATATTCGGGTATTGTGATATACAACATGACAGAACATTTTTTGTTCTTCCACAAAAACTGTGATTTTAGATTCATGGTTCGCAAACTCGGTCATGCATACGAATTGTACCCAATATTTGCTCTCACTGGTCTCTGGTTCGTCATGTTCTGTTATGTCATCTACTACTCATTCAGTAAAATGGAAGTATGGCTGGATAGAAGTGAGTAAAAATAGCCCACAAGAACGATTCTCGTTATTGTAGAGTAGCTAATGGGAACTGCTAAACACACAACAAGACGTCACTGATCTTTGATGATAGATTCCTGCCCTGGTCTATTTATTGTTCTTCTGTCGTGTGAAAAAGTCGATAGCGTGACGGTGAAAATATTTACAGGCAAGTCGACGGCACCATGGGATTGGGAGAGAATCCGTGAGAACTATTACAAAAAACCAACACTTCTGTGAGTTGTTGATATATGCAGTATTCAACATATAGTATTAGTTGCGATGTTGTTATTCGAACGAAATTTCAGCTTTGACAAAGAGGGTGTGTCCCACCAGAGACTGGAAATCTTGGAAGTTTTGCAAGACAACATGATAGCAGCAGCGAAGGCTCGTGGAACTCGTTAGATAGATTTGTGTCGTTTGTGTAGTAATATCTTTCGAATAAATCAGTGAAAGTGTGAATTGTCTCGAAGGGATCATCCACAACAAAGACAAACCACTTCAAATTCTGTTGCCACATTGGCTTTTCCGCTATCTTAAAATTTGCTTGAAATTTAACCATATGCTTGAGATTAAACCATAAACCGGGCAATTGCTCTTGGCTCGATTTCGACACATGACAACAGCAATATCCTAAACCCATTAGGCATTTTGCATACCACATTTTAAACCCAGAGAATGCGAAATAAAGCATGGCTTCATGCTTTAATAGCTGTAATAGTAAAACGGAAAATGATGTTGACACCCCCTTTCTCAGCAAAATAGCAGCAAGTGGAAAAACAAAAACCACACAAATCTGTGGATCAATTGGTTCGAACAGATGATCCACTATTGAGAGTAACCTTGCCTCCCTTGCATGAAAGAAAAAACATTAGGCTGCAGGAAAACCGTCCCGGAAGGAACAAAATTCTGCAACTCGATCAAAATTCAATTTGTTCATTACATCCTTTAGCTTCCTTGATTTGAATAAGGCTGATTTGTTGACTCGTATTTCATAAAAAAAATCACAAAACGCGATTTTTAGAAAACTTATATTAACCGAATGAATACACACAAGAGCACAAATAAGCCAACAAATCATTTATCAATAACAATAACAACATTACTTCAGAGGGATAAATCGCGATGAGTGGGTGGCTCCGATACCTGGCCTACCGTGCTTGACAGGCTTGTAGGTAATTGCGAATTCTCCCAAATAATATCCAATCATCTCTGGCTTGATCTCAGTCTGTAACCCATAGAACTATTGTATTGTCGAAAATTTTTCAAGACGTAATACATAAAATCCGCTCAACTCACCTGGTTAAAAACTTTTCCGTTGTAGATACCAATAACAGAGCCGACCATTTCAGGGAGGATAACCATATCTCGCAAGTGTGTCTTCACTGTAGCCGGCTTCTCCAGAACATTAGCAGCTTTCTTCGCCTTTTGCAAACGAGAGATCAAGTTGAGGTGCTTCCTTTTCAATCCTCGAGCAAGACGTCTACGCATGCGACAGGGCAGCATCTTTGCGAACTGGTCACTAAAAAGGAAACAAATGAATAGTAGAACCAGTTTTTAGGAAGCTAACGAATAAAGAACTAACCAGGGAGGGGTAGTCTACTTATCTTGGAACTTTGAATTCAGACCCAGATAAGTCGATAGAGTTTCGAATGCTGTTTACGAAAATGGAAATTAAAACTGCAAAATGATTCTCCTTAAAAAGTTATGGGGGCCCGAATTTTGCTCGACAATAGTATCAATTGTCTAAAGAAATGTCAGAAAACGTTTAGAAAGCCTTTGATAAAATGAAAAAACACTTTGCAAAAGTGCGGAAAATGGCGGGGAGGGACCCCTCATTTAAAGCCCACGAAGCGAGACCACTACCACTAGGCCACGTGGGCGTTTGATATGGAAGCGACGAGTTCGCACTTCCAATTGATACTACTGTCCAGCAAAATTCGGGCCCCCATAACTTTTTAAGGAGAATCATTTTGCAGTTTTAATTTGCATTTTCGTCAACAGCATTCGAAACTCTATCTATTTATCTGGGTCTGAATTCGAAGTTCCAAGATAAGTAGACTACCCCTCCCTGGTAAGACCGAAGTTTTGGTTCCAATTCGAAGGAAGTGAAGAAGTGGCAACCCTTGCTGCTACCCCATCTTGACCGAGAAGTTACCGCAAGGACTAATAACCACCTTTTCGCGAAAGAATTGTAGAGAGTCGAGCGCGAGGCATCTTGCTACTTATTGTTGACCTTATTGTTCTGATTTTCGAAAGCATAAAGCTGTTAAAAGCTACTCAGTAAAACAGCAAACGATTTTTGGCGATGAAACTAGTTCAACTGCAGAACACAGATAAGAACATATAAGGTGTATCTCAACAAAAAAGTTAAGCAATCCAAGAACCTGCTTCGACCACCGAAACGCAAAGAATGTTACTATATTTAACTGAAAAGAACTGATTGGGAGGAGATCAATTCATTTCTTTTTGATTGTTGCCTGATTCAACTAAATGGATGTGCAAAAATGTAGAGTCCGTATGAAGAAAAAAAGAGAAACTAAAAATGTGTACAGTAAACAGGACAACTCTTACAAAAAGAAATGCCGAGCATAACGTAAAAGTGAACAAGATTGTAGGATATAGCAGGGCAAGGTTAATAAACACTTCGTTAGATCCCCAGTTATTAACGAGGAGAATTGCGATTTCTACAACGGCATTACTTACAAAAAGTGAAGGAATCCGGAATGCCTTGCGCTTTTATATGCCTACTTCCAAAGATACGATAATAGATCCTACAGGGGAAATCATCCATTACACACACAAATATTTTTTACCACAATTTTCGCGTAAAAATGCAAGAACTAGTATAGAATTCTCACCGAGACATGTCCAGCAGCTGCTCCAAATCTACGCCACGGTAGGTGAATTTACGGAAGGTTCTTTTCTTCTTGAGCTCAGCCAAATGTGCCTCATCTTGGTCAGCCATGGTTGCCCTCAACCTAGATTACCTTAAATAAGTAGGCTTTCAGAACTGATGTAGATCGTACGTAATCGCAGCACGAAATCAACTACAATCAAACGGAAATGTTTTACAGAAAGGTCAAGAGGAGCTCTATTTCTACTTGAACATACTCGAACAAAAACGATGTCGAATCGATCCGTGTTACAAAACAAATGAAATATTCCGAAGTTTGGTGGTCTTTCTCTATGTCAAATGCAGCTCAAAGATGATTTCCAAAGCCTAGAGCCGTACAAACTTATAAACAAAGCTCCAAAATAAAAACGGTGTTTATTTCAGGTACAACTCCTTTCCATAAACAAAGAGAACTCGAGATGGTGTAGCCCTGAACTTCGTGGAAATTATGATCCCCAACCCGACATTTAATATATACAAATTAATGGAAAACTAGGACTTTCCAATAACAAATTCATTTTGCCGCACCTCACCTGCGAAACTACGGCTGCATATCGCTATGATGGAAAGTCGACGCGCAGAGAATCGAACGCAACTCAAGGAATTGGCAACTTGCCATGTTGTTTGCAGCTGATTTGTTTTTGTTGACGATTTCTTAAGAGGTGATAGGCGCTGATGTATGTCTCGATTGATTCCGCTGAAATCCCACATGCTGTCGGGCACCTTGAATCCATACAAGCCTTGAGCCGTTGCTTGGTTGTTTGTCTATGTTGGCAGTCATCTACGACTACCCAAGTAATATCTAACAGCGTTAAGTACCTGATCCCTACTTCATATAGCGGTGTCGGTATAACAAAAAACTGACGGGTTTTCTACAGATTCCCTCTCATACTAGGGGAGAATAGTTTTTTACCATAGCTCTAGCGCGCTGAGAGAAAAGGATTACCTGGGTGGGCGGCTGGTTAATTCAATGTTCAGTTCGTACCCCATTCCGGCTCCCCCAGCCGCATTTTCATCCAAAAGTTTATTCAAGTCGCCTACAGGTCATAAAAAGCGGACTAATCCTAACTGACGTCCTTGTTAGCGTTCGTAGATAGATAAATTCTAGTAAGGGAGTGGTAGTCATTCGGAAAATTCACTTCAAAATTGAGTTAGGGGATTATACTCAGAATGGTCGGCCATTTTTGTGTTCTACATCACGCTCATAAAGCTGTGTAGTATAAAATGGTTATTGATTTTGCGCACGCATGTTCCATATTCGTTCGCGCGCTGGTGACCGCTCGTGGATATATCATTCTGAAGTGGTGAATTCTTGCTGAGACACCCTGCCAGAACCAAATTCTTAATAACTAATTGATTGTCGCATTTTGCATCACCGATTCGTCCATTCTCACGTCGTTCCTGATATTTTAAATACTTTCTATTAATTACAGTTGATGAACGAGTGCTATGTCCTTCACCCATGTTGATATATTGTATATTATTGTTCTTGGAATAGTCTTCTGGCGTCGTGGAACAGATGCCGCTGTCTTGCAGCAGCCTCCTGTCTTCGAGCAGCACAATGCTGCCGACTTGCTCAGTAGAGGTAAGGTTTTGTGATGAAGGCAGGTTGAGATGGGTTTCAGTTGTTTTGCTGTCGTGATGTAGAAAACAATCATCCTCCACTTTTACCATTTTTTCTTGAAGTTGAGTTCATTCAGTACAGCCGCTTCACCAAGCAGCGTTTCTACGAGAAAGTTTTTACGAGGCTGTAAGCAGCGATTTTATTGGATACCTCCGAGAATACCCATCTGATTATTGTATTTCTGACATCGAAAGTAGTGCCTGTTTACACATTTTCATGTTAGAAAGTGAAAGCTATACTTATCTTAATAGCCTATTTACTTAATTAACTCACTAACTTGATTACTTACCTAGTAATTGAATGACGCAAGCAAATTCGGAATCGTGTTCCAATGTTGTGTTGATCGCACTTGTTCCTGGGAAAGGGATAGAGTGAGTGTCAGTCTTCCCTTCAATTGAATTGTGTAATTTAGGCAGCTATATCGGCGAACAAAACCCTGAGTACGAGTATGAAGAGCCTGTAAATAAAACACATCATTCTCATTTCGACACCGAAACCGAGGATGATTCTGAGATAGATCAAGGCGACAGCGAAATCAGCGAAGAACGGTTAGTTATAGACTTTCTTTTTGCTTTTCACCTATCGCAATTCTTATTTTTCATAGATAGTGTGCTTATATTTTCCAATCAGTATAAAGCTGCACTGAAATTTGGATTATGTATTTTTATATGGCAGTATTTGCATTATAGAAAAGCTTTTATTAAACATCTCACATGCGACCATTCCTCGAACTGATCTCTTCCATTACCGGCTTCCCTCTAAATACTAGGTTTTCGATGAACGGTTATGGTTTTTGTGACGCTACACCTTCCATAAAATCCATTTCTGAGTTCCATTTTGCACTTTTGTGGGTCTTCCAATTTGCTGAGGGAGACAACTTGACACGTTACGGTCGTTCTCATACGCATTTTTCTTTGAATTAGTTAAATCGATTAGATTAATTTTTCCTCGATTTCATCTGAAAGTGAAGTATCAGTTCCTAGTAGTATTAGCTTTTTAGTATTTTATTTACTGCTGTGTTTGCAGAAGCGTCGAAGAACCTCCTACCAACCACTCTCAATCTGAGACTAGGTATTTGAGGAAATAATTTGCGTCGTATGCATGCGCGTGTAGTGTAACCCTTTCTCCTTCTATAACTGTCCGGCTTCCTCACTTATCTGCCAGCAGATTTTACATTGATTTTGTATAGCATTTGTATTCTTTAGGAATGAAGATCGTGGCATATTTCTTGGAGACAATCGAGGAGGTCTCAAGGAAGTGAAGCCTGACCACAGGCGAATAGCACCTGTTGTTGTTATCGAGAGCACCTTCAACAATAGGTAACCTATTTTTCGAATCTGCATCACCTGTTTTCTCGGGGTTAGCTCTAATGAAACGATCGTTGTTCACGTTTGTTGGTGATGAAATAACTTGATCAGAAGTAGAGATTGTCAAAACTTAGCCGAACGTGCCTAAGAAATAGAGGGGGATTGGGGTTGGCTGGGCATTTTGTTGGAGGCGGTAGTCTTTCCATTTATGTACAGCTGTTCATACCTCGCTAATAATGACCACTGCTGTTTCTCTTGACATTTTGGAGAGTGATTATAGTAAGGTGCAGATANAAAGTAGTGTGATTTCATATTCAACATCAGCTCTGAATAGGCTCTTTGAAACTGACCAATATCATTTAGGAAATCATTTGCTTGTCCAAAAATCAAGAGCGATCTAAAAACTGGAACATCCATAGGTGATCTCAGCCCCGAAGATATTACAATAATCGCTTCAATGGGTGACGCTCTGGCGGTAGGTGTATTTCCGCTATTATGTTTTTTGTACTGTTGAACTCGTTTTTGTATTCATGTTCGTTACTTTTATCGAATTTAGTGAGTGTTCCAGCTTTAGCAGTCAATCCCTAGATTCAGTAGGTTCCCATAGTTTGCTCTACTCTGTTTTGATGTACTGTATTTCTGAATATTTTGAGTTTGTGCTAGCTGATTTTGATCGATGGCGTATCTTGTGTTGTGCAGTCGTATGTTTTTGAGGATCCATTCGGAATAACTAACAAAACTCGTTTATTTTTATATTTGCACGTTCATTTTAGTTTGCCGGTGGTACTGAGGTAGGAGGTACTATGAAGTTTCCCATTAGCTACAGGCTTCTGCCAACCTGGATAAGTATCGGCTTAGGTGGCTTCGCCTGGCGCGCTTACTTCTCGGGCTTGATATTTTTCTCGTACCAATGTATGCAGGAAATAGGAAATTAAGCTGCCTCGCTTGGATGCTGGGGATGTCTGTGATTCTGCATGGTTACCATAATTCGCGTATGATAGTGCAAAACCGGGAACTTGGATTAAATTGAAGAGTTGGAGTTTAGACTGGAATGGGCCTGTGGCCAAAAACAAATATCGAGTTTCGTGGAGCTGCTTTTCCGAGCGGAGGAGATGCCACTATCGACGGGCTGATTACTATCCCTAGTACGTTGACAGTCAATGCTACTTTTTTGTGACCATAAGGAAGTGCAATGATAAGTAATTGTGTTATAGATATCCTCCGCGAGTTTAACAGTCATTTGATTGGTGTCTCTCATGGCATGGGAACGAGAGATCAGCTACCCGAAACACAGCTGAGCGTTGCCGAAAGTGGTGCCACTACGGATAAGATGCCAGAGCAGGTAATAAACTTTTTTTCTGGTTTTGTAGTCTTTGGCTGGTATGTCTGGTGCATGTGAGTATGTGCAAACGGTCGTTAACATGATTGTAAATATTATTATGTCATCAAATGTTAGTTGGCACTATCCAACTGCTGGTTCTGGAGAATTACGGGTTCTCGTGAAACAGCAGGGCTCAGCCATTCAGATCAATGTCAATCACGGCAGGGTTCTTGTAACCTTCATGCCCCCTCGGCCATAAACTCTCCGAATCGTCAAGAACCATAGTGTCCTGAATATATATGTGTACCAGATTTCTTATTGTCAGTTTGCGTACTGTATATACATCTTAATTATAATAGTTACGCTCTGCTTCGCGAAGGGAATCATAGGTTGTCAAGTCACTTCCACTTGTACTTCTTCAGGCACGAGAACTTGTCAGACGGTTGAAAAATCTCGTCCAAGTGAATTACATGGATCACTGGACTATGGTGATCGTTACGATTGGTACTGAAGAGGTGAGCATTACGTTTTGTAGACCTGCTTCATTTCATTGTCTCTGTTAACTCTGTTGTCATGCAAGCCTCTGCCCCTTCATTGTTTTGCAGGTGTGTTCGAGGTGCACTTCTCCAAACGTCACAGCACTTACAGAGGCAATCGACATTCTTCAGAACAATCTTCCACGCGGCTTTGTTGTACTTCTAGGACCCATCCACGTGTCATTTCCCCACAAGCTCAAAGGAAATCTTCTCAAGTAAATTTTTGACGTAATGTTGGGGTCTAGGAGGTCAATCGAGATTTACTCAAGCTGGGGCGATGTTGTTATTCTGGCTGATTATTCAGATCTCGTTGTGAGTGTTCGAGGGAAGCATCCAACGCTCTAATGGAGCAGCTCAGTGCTGACTGGAAGAAAGCATTCGAAGATCTTCAGGAACATGTGGACAAGAGCCCATTCAGGGTTGGTTCTTCTACTGTACCCATTATTCTGGCTTCCACTAGGTTTTACATAGTACTGTTGTTTTTGAGTAAGAGGAAATAGTCTGCTAGGTTGTCGAGCAGCGGGTTCCTTTTGATTATTTACTGTTCTTTCCTCGTATACAACCTTTAATCATAGGCGGCGACCTTTGGAATTCTTGCCATTCCTGAACTCACTATAACTTCTCGTTATCCTTATGGTCTATTTATTCCTAACAAACCGCTGCTAAACAGAAGAGGTACTTGTTAAGCTTTATGATCACTTTTTTCAGTTGTTCGAAGCTAATTTCAGGACATAATTATGCAACTAAATGGCTTTGGAATCGATTGATTGCCGGTGAAAACTACAACCTCTCAGCAGCAGTGCTGTCTCAGGACGCCTACTTCTGCCCTTCCATTGTAAGTGCTCATCGGTTGCACCCAAGTTTTTGATGACGTCAGGAAAAGATATAGAGAAATGATTGCCAAAGTGTTAATTTTAGGGTTGTCCCTATTTCCGAAATACGGCGAACATCCATGGCTGCCAATTGCTGAGTCTTAGCGAGGCAAAGGAAAAGGAACTTCTCTTAGGAGTCGATGGCAAAGTTGTCAAAAAGGTGCGTGTTTGGAATAGAGTAGTCATGCGATTTCTTGAAAAAGGGAACAAAAGACCTTTCATCGCAGCACATTGTAATTATAGAGGCGACGAACGCCGGAACGCTTGTATACAATAGCAGTTTGCATAGTTGGCATAGCATTCTTTGTCGTGTGCACCTTAGGAACTGTGTTCTATCAAAAGAGTAAACAGGTATTTGTTTTGTTTCGTTTCAATCATATCAGCCCACTTGAATCGACTATTATATTTTAGGCTGAGCATGGTCGGTTTGAGATTGTCGATGAAGTTCAGAAAAAGTTTGAAGAAGCTAAAAAGGAAGAAGAGAAAGCGCTCCTCACGAAACAGTTATCAAGAGGAATTTCGATGAACGAAGGTCTTCAGCGAAGCACCCGGCGACTGACTGCAGATTGATAGCTGCCCGTTTAGGAAGCTCAGTCCTAGTAGGTGACCAGTTATAAGTGGATCGCTAGAGTAGTAACATTTCCCTTTAACATCATTCGCAGGTGTTGTATTGTTTATATTTGTAAGGGCAGTTTCCACGGTAGGGCGGATGCATTATTACCTATTTCTCTTTCGATCCCAGCTCTACTCCGCAGCGTGAAACTGAGAAACGATACCTAAAGAACTTACTTACTCGAATGGCGTTATTTCTAAGCCCATAAAAAAAGATTGTTCGGCGTCGGAACATTACTTTTTCACGTACTCTGGCGTGGATACTGCTTCTAGCAAGGACTATGTCTCGCTTTTGACTTCCCGACTCATACGCCTCTTTCCCTTTTCCTCTTCCCATTATAAACTGTATATTTACCTTTAATCCGTGTGAAAAACCCTTGAACTAATATTATTCAGATTTAACGAATTCCTACCGGTAGAAGAAATGACTCAATTATGTAGTTAGGGGTCTCATTGCCTTATTTTTTTGCCTGACCATTCACTTATGATAGAAGAACCGCACATTCCTGCCCACTGGCAGAACCTTTCTTACCATTAGAATATACCTAGTCATGAAAGGGTAGATTTTTTGATTGCATTTCATTAGTACTATTCAGCTTCGAACTCTCAAAGTTTGTGATGCTTTTCTTCCGCATTTCACTTTCTTCAACGATTCCTTCCGTTTTTGTAATAGTGCATTTCGTAATAGTTAATTTATGTGTAATGTGTGTGTAATGCTTTAATGTAATGTAATTATTAGGGATGAATTTCAGTGATGCCTTTTTTATTAATGGGCTATCGATTCTGCATTCCTAATTTCTCTTGAAAAGACTTATCGATAGCTGATGAGAGACACATCAATATATATCGTTTTTTTTTTGTTCTGCTCAATTGTGGTTTTCATTTTAATAGAGTACCAGCCTTGCTGTATATGGCATCCACAGTCTAAAAAAAAGTTTTAAATGAAGAGTTATGTTAAGCTGTTCTGTAACAGTGTCCCACCTTGGATAGAGCTCTGATTAGTTCTACAGATTTTTGGTATGTCTTATCCTTGTGAGGTGTTTCGTACACATGTACAGTACCATTATGTTGGTCAATAACTCCTGGATATACCAGTTATTCAGTATATATTGCTAAGCAAAGGGGACAAAGGGCATACCGAAAAATTTCTTGTCAAGTAGCATCATTGAGATAGCTTTTTCGATTTGCTTTTGAGTCATTCCTACACAGCGAACAATGTGAGAGAGATCGATTTCTGAGTATGGTTCAATTACTCGGCAAATTTCCTGAAAGAGGGATGAATTCGGCTATTTGAAAGGCAGGCTATTAACTTCTGTGAGGGGTTTTCAGAGAAATGCTTGGGGGAAGTTTTGATCCACTTGCAACTAGTAGGGGAGGTTCCCGGAAGTTTTCCAATTTTCTAATTTCAATCTTGTACTCGTAAGGTATCAGTCAAGACCATTATCACTGCTCACTGTCTATTTAAGTAGTTATTGCCCATGCTGGAACAGAATACGCTCATTGTCAGTTATGTGTTGCTTTCCTGTATGTCACTTTAGGAACGCCTGCCTTCAGGAGATCAGTGCTGGAATTTTTGCCTTCAAAGGCCGTAATGTCGTGCTTGAGATCAAGTTTTGGCTTACTTTTTCGAGCATGTTATCTCTGAGTTCTCTTGAATGTGCAGCCACAACTTGATCACACAAAAGCTCTCTATTGTAATCTTTCAGACACTGAAAACGAAGGTTACGGAAAGAGCAGAAAGAGCTGGTTGTGGTGTTGTGAGAAGCACTTCTGGGACCTTGTTGAACTTGCTCAGACTGCGTTCTGTGAATGCTTCAGCCATGCTCTTCATCGCTTCGATCTCGCGTCCTCGGATAGACTGTATCGTCTTGAAAAACGAATATTATATATAGTAATCGTAGATAACTAAAATACTTAAGTGAGAAACCTTTGTCGAGAGAAGTAAAGGTATTGTATCGGCTTCGTTCAACATTATCTGCAACATTTCTACTAGCAAGCGAGAGACGATACTCAGAGTTGGAAATCACCTTGCATAGGCACATGTATTTGAGCGCCCGTACTGCTTTAGGTGGATCCGCAATAAGGTAGCCTTCAAGAGCCTCATAACAGTACGAGTAAGCTGTCTTGAAATCCTTCTCATCAGCACTGTAGAGGATTCCAGACTGTAAGTCGAGAGCTGCCTGAAAGTGAAGTGCTGAGCCTCGACCTTTCCCTCCGAAAGTTTTTCGGGGTCCGAGACCCATGGTAAGTAGTTGTCTGTAGGCAGTTAGGCTATTATGTGATTTTTGATGATCGTCCTATGTTTAGGCCAGTTCTACTCTCTCGTATAACCTGACGAACCCTAGAGGAAAATGTCGGTCACCCTGAATGTGGTCTGATCCGAGGACTGTGAGAGTGGTAGTGGCACCTTTGCCCACTATGCCAGCCCCTATCACAACAAGNCTGGGAGATGGGTACCCAAATTGACTTTCTTACCTGCATTTGGGTAGAGACGTAAGCACCGTTTGCATTGCTTCTTGCCAGGACCAAGGAAGTTTTTGCCTGAAGATGGTATGACTACTGGATTAAACCCAACCTTTATTGAAAGAAGCTAACCTTTCCAAAGTTCTTCAAAGCAAAAGCGCTTTTACTCTCTTCCAGCGTGACTTCCATGATCAATTCACGGTCTTCAATCTTTTTGAGTTCAGCTATTAATGGACCAGCTAAAAGGACAACTATTAATGGAGCAGGACATATTTCTAAGACTTCAGAAGTTTATTGAAGGCAATGGTACTACACCGATTTTTTGAGCCTCGACATGGAGTCCGATGTCGTTATAGAGACGGATCAGGCGTGCTTCCAAGGCTCGGCGGAGAAATATGCGGCAGTTTGAAGTTGCCCATTCGATACATTCTTTTACTAATTTCACCTGTAGTAGGGATGAGTACTTCTGCTAGTATTACAAGTCATTCAAATGGTTGCTTTCTGCAGAAATAAGTAAATAATTCACCTTTTCGCTGTTTTCTTGGTTGATCATGAGACAATATTCCATGAGGACACGAATTAGTTTGCTTGCTTTTGCTCTACCCACTACATCATAAAATGGACGAGTTACCACAATAAGTTTACGTAAATCTGAAAAGACAACCACTTCTCTATAGTTACAGGTATAGTTTTTCGGTATTTCTCTGATTACTTCTTTTCTGTGGACCACGCTTCTGGCACTTATGTTCACAGCCACCCGTGACATCAACACCTTTCAGGGTACTTGTAAACAAAGTAGATGTCTATATGATATACTGGTAGGAGAATACGATCACCGGTTACCGTCCAGTCTAGTTACCGGACGGTTCGTACAATCAGCTCCCTGACCGCAACCACAAATCTGCTGAGGAAGGAATGGACCGATAGACCGAAATATCAGAGGTGAGGTTCATAGTAAGAGTGACGGGATTGTGGGTACACCCTCTTGATGCCTGCAGCGTAATCAAAACTAATCCCGCTCCAAGATTACAAGGAGTGAGTACTGTTCTTGCAGGGATGGGGTTCGGATTGAGTTTTCAAGCTCAGATCGTTTGAAATAACTTGCAGTAGGAGCCATATCAACTGGCAGATGCCAATGACAAGCTAGAGTTAGAGTTGCAGAGCCATATGAAGGAATGGGTTTGAAAACTGACCAGTACATCACTACATCATTTGGGGCAGCAGGATGACCTGTTTCTGAGCTGACTCGACCAGATTAGGAAGCATATTTCCGAATCAATGTCTTGATGCTTGAAGTTACCTGGGGTAACCTCACCTGCAACATTTCCTTCTGCGGATAGTTTTTTGGCATAGGCTATAAGGTAATCTTCACATTCCTTCAGTTCCTCTTCCGTGTAGTCTTCAGACTTATGGGATACTGAAAGGATGCTCTTGAGCTCCTAGCTGTACTGAGCTGGAAAGGTCGTGTAAACGTTCCTTACCCATGTCCTCCACCCTCTGTAACGTCATCTGTTGAGTAGCCATGAGTTGTTCGCGATCACTTGAGTAGAAAAATCTTATGAAATGAGACATACCGCTTCCGGGATCCCTTTTTAATTGAGGCGTTATCACTGCTGATATACTGATACTTATGATAGTCCATGCTACTCGGTTATAGTGCAGCTATTCTATGAGGTCAGGACTGTTGCACTGTAGCAAAGAGCTCTTGGACGCCGACAACAGACCCTTTAATTTTTTCTGAATTTTGGGGATATTTGCGTAGGCGTGCGTGTCCTACACAATAGCCTGTGGCTGGCTGATGTACAATCCAGTGCTTTTGTCTCCCAGACGTGTCTGGTACCAATTAGCAGAATTCGAGAGGATGGAAGACTTAATTGGCCCTGGCTAGTATCAATTCAGGATCGATTCGAACGCGGACCATGTGGGTTTGATAGTGTGCTAGGCGCCATTACATCACTTCCTCTCGCAGTAGGGGATTTGTTACAAATATGGTGATTAGAAGTCCTAATTTCGTAGAGCAAGTAAAAAGTGGTCGGTATGCGAAATGAGGTATGCTGGCTGCTGGTTGTTCTCAGAGGTATAAGTCCTTTTATCAAAGTGTCAAGCTCTTGATTTTCTTACTTGTAGCATATGGTTCTGTTTAACATCAGCACTAACACTGCTTCAGATTGCCCTACTCTTTGGTGCCTCGTTTTTCTTTACGATTTCGATAATTTTTCTTATAAGAGCCTGGTCACGGACATGTTTTCTGCCTGTACATCTAACCATCAGTTCTTCAGGATCGTGACTGTTCCATTGATAAATTGCTTTATTCCCAAAGAAATCACAGGCTGGTCTCACTGAGCTGCTACGTCAAAGCTTTATTTAGCATTGATGAAGCTATGCAAAGAAAAGTATGAAACAAACATGATGCTCACAAACAACGAATCTCCAGCTATTGCTTCCCTTCCATTCGGTGGTGTTGAAGGTGCCTTTACTCCATGTGGCAGCGGATGTTACCGCAACCTTCCTTTTTTCTAGGCCTACAGCGCTGTTGACATCTTCTGGCGTAGTTCTACAATGAAGTTGGATCAATGGCAGCAACCTTCCCTATGCTCGGTCATCCCTTCCATTTGGCTTATCCACCTCTTCTAACAAATCCGTATACGAATAAACGCCAAAAAACGTGTGGGATGGCACTCTACGTGAGTGGAACAACCCCATTAACCCACATTAGATTTGCTCGTATCCCGATGAGGAAGCCCAAATACCACTACTTGCCGGGAACGACCCTCCGACTGCAGCTTTTTCCGAAAATAAATAGCTTAGGCCAAGGTGAAATGTCTTCTGAAAATACTCTGTAGAAAACCGTATGCACTCTGTTTCATATTTGAATAAGGAAGGTTTCTCAGGATTCCCACGACTTCTGAAGCGTTGGAATTCCATAGAAATTCTTTTTGAATTGGGAATTTCCTGAATTTCCTCTGTCCTGTATAAGAATTCAAACCTAGTGCGCTCCTTGGAGCAAGGCGTTCTTTCCAGTATTTTCTTCCCTTTCAAAATTTGCCTGTTAACGTCCTTGACGTGACGTCCATTAGATGGGGCGTTGATGGGAGATACCGTGCACTCCAAAGGCTCCCCAGTTGTCATACTATTCCTACATGAGCTTTGAATAAATTAAAATTCCTTTGTTGTACTTCTTCAACAGAGAACTCCGCGGAACCTTTCCAGTGAACCAGGGTTATGTATTCCCTTTGAAAAACGTCTCATGTGGGATGGGCAGTTCTTGTTCACTGAAGATCATATCGAATGGTGTGTCTGTTGCTCTGAAAACCCTGATTGCAACCTATTAGGCCGATAGTCACAGGGCATATGTACGGACCCTTGTCATGTTCGTCATCTTGCCTCTTGTTCTTTGGGGAAACCACCACTATGCACCTCTATTTGGCTGTACCTGGTTAGCACCTTGCCACTGACCAGCTTTAAAAAGGTGGCTTGCTATCAGAAGCATCGTCTCGACCGATTGAAATTCTCCCGAGCTCACAAAACCTTCAATAAGCTCTATCTAGACCAGTAGAACTATTCCTCTACCTAACCCTGTTCAGAAGACGAGCAAAAGGCACGAACACCTCGAAAATTCATCAAGCCTTTTTTCACTCACATTGTTTAATACCTAGAGCGAACTCACCTTGAGAAGATGGCGCCGATAACTCCATGGCGTTTACATAAACATCGCTTCGCCTCTTTGTACGGTTATTGATTTGTGATGGTAATTTTCGATCGTATTTCGATTTTCGATTGATTTTTAATTTTCATGCTATCCGAACAACAGGCACCGATTACATTCGATCGCCCGGAAGTGATTGCAGCCGCCATGGCATGGGCTGTGGTGAAACTCTCCAGTTGTTTCGTCGCTTCACTTGCCGAAGACATCGCGACAGAATTCGTGACAAAGGTAGAATTCTGTGAATCCTTGCTTGCATAAAATTTACTCTTATACAAAAAGCGGATGGTTGATTACGGAACAAAGCAGTGGTGCAAGGACCGTCATCTCACTAATTTGCATTGAAGCAGATGAATTATTCACACACGACCACTTTACTTAGCAGCGGACTCTGCGACTGAGGGAGAACAAAGTTAGCAGGATGAAAACTATCTTCCAGCCCAGTATTAGTTCTTATTCTTCGAAAGTGGCGGAGTTAGTGGGTATGGTAACACCAAGTGAAGCCGCTAGCGCAGTGAGTGGGTGTGGTAGCACTTACCAAGGAGAGCTAGGCTACCTCTCCTTGGTTGTGAAGCCGCTACCATAAGTGTTCCTGAGTAATCGGACCTTAATTCGAATTCCACTATCAAGCTCCTCTTTTTTTTAAACATTTGCCAGGTTAAATACATTACACTGTAGATCGATAGGTACCCATAAGTTACTGGGATGACTGGACGAGTTTCATCATCCGCTACAGACTCAAACGGTAACAGATCAATTTTCAGTGATTTCCCTTGTCCTATCTATCAAGCAAATCTGCAAAAAACTTGCTTTTTGTTATTCCTCGAGTTTCTAAGCAGAGTACTAGGCCTATTTGCAGTAACTAGGCTATACAAAATTTGTAGCATTGCAATAGTATTGGCAAATTGTAGTGTAGTATAGATTGGGAATTGACTTGTAAATTGACTTCAGTTCAAATTCGAATTACTGAGTTACTCAGTCGTCGAGGAGACTAGCTGTAGGTGGTACTTCATTCTCCTCCCATCCAACCGACCCTGAGCTCCCGAACTGCCAACCTGTTCAAACACCCCAAACCTCCTTGTCCAAAAAAACTTCGTGAAGTTTGGTTTTGGTCACATACTTTCGATTTTGCATCCTCCATTTTTGACTAAAAATCTGCTTATATGTTTGTCGGTTAGACGAAATGAATAGATATTGAACATAACGTAGCCTCTATAATCAGGGTTCATATTTTGAACTCAGAACTGCAAAATATAAACCCTTATTTCCAAGGCTAAGTTCAAGGCCGTAGTGAAAATAATGACTTCGAAATCGATTGTTCCGCTATTCGTTGCACAATATTGGGAAATATCGTGAATCGTTCCCGTACACATACGATTCTGAAAGTAAGGTGGAGGCAAGCTTCCCTGTGAATTGACTCTCTGAATGCTTAACTTTCATCCTCACCACTTCAAGCTACAAGGATATAACTTTCGATCATGCCATTTACCAGTTTTACTGTTAGCTCTGTATAGGCTAGCCGTGAGAGCATTAACCTACACTCACTTTCCAGGACGAGTCACTGGATCCTCTACGCCAAACTTCCTGGTGTCCAACATATCAAGTCGGAACCCAATGTCCAGGTAAACGGTTTCGACTTTCACTTCCGCAATCATTATATCTTTTTTTGTAAGTTGGCTTTGATTCTTGAGCAGAGAGCTCGTTTCATTATGCCACTCTTGCCATTCATTTCAGAAATTTCAGAAGCCTTTTCGAAGGAATAGTTGTTTTCTGAAGGAATTTGTATTGATATATTCTTCAAGAGCCTCATTCAACATATACTTCCAGAAAACTCATTTATCTTCTACTATAAGTGCTGTGGCCATCTACACAAAGAATGTTGTTCCCATCTACGAGTTTGGGTGAGTTCAATACTGGAAGTAGAGCTGTCTCAAGATGTACAACCCAGTTTCAGGTCCTCGTGCTCATAATCGCCCTTCCACTTTTATTCATTGTACCCCCTGTGGTATATCTGATGCGTCGAATATTCTGTAAAGCTGATCATCGACCGTATTCTGCTGGTATTCAAATGACGACACGAGAACAAAGAGAATCTCGAAGGGATACCAGATAGATTCTCGAACCTTTGGCATCTCAGTCCCCTTCCTGTAACTCTGGTGTTTGATAGGTTGTGCCCATACTGGACCATTTAACGAAAAGCTCAAATTCTTTATTTTACTACCGTCCTAATATCAACGACTGGACCGTTTGGAAGCTACACCTGATGCTACTTTTCCTCATTTGATTTTTCATATATGAAGCTCCTTTTGAATCTTGTACAGATCGCTCTCTCCAATCTAATGCGGAATAACTTCAGCAGAAGTGAAGTCATGTTTCTTTCGCAGCCTGGAAGCTTCATAAAGATCAACACAGCTGGCTTTGACAGTGCGACCGCAGAAGGCTCGTTTAGCTCAGAAATGAGACAAACATTGTATTAGTTTTTGATAATAACCAAAGTCTTGGACAGGCTTTGAATGAGGATCCCCCTGAGAACGTCAGCTTTTCAGAATTGTATCATATGACTCTCTTTCGATCTGTCTCATATGTCGTCTGATAAGACTTCTATGTTCACTGGGCTCCATTACTCAACACCGAATGGTACAACCTGACCCAAGCGGATTAAGAAAGGCCTCACGATGCCTCCTCTTAAAGTACATTTTTATTAAGAAAAGTGGCTGGCTAATAGTGAGTGCTGACACGGCTTCTCTTGCTGTACGCTTGTGGCTGTACACGAATGATGGTTCTCGACAGGAATCCCTGATAACGGCACTATAACTTTGCTTGAGGTTCGACCCAGATTCTCCTCATGACTTTCTCTTGATTTTTCGATTTTCTGAAGAAGAGAGAGGGGATGGGAGTGGGAGGGGGTGGGGAAGGGAGTGAGAGAATGGCGGGAGGATGTACCTTTCCGCGCGGGGTATCATCTGTTCCGACAATCTGTTATAGTAATTGCATCCTTATTGATGAACCGAACAAAGTCCTACTCACCCGTTGCTGCCAAAAGACTCTCGTTTCTGAGGATATACCCGGAAACCTTAGTCAAGGTCTTGCATTGGCTTACCAACACTCATCACCTTTCGATTCCACATTGAAGTATACTGCCTATATGTACCCAGACGGACATGCCACCCTGCCCTTTTTACTCCCATCTTTTACCGCTTATCAGATATGAAGTAAATTCTTGTGATAACGATCAGCTGATTTGCTACCATAGTTTATTTACATCAACACTTCCAATTGAAACAGATATTGAATAGATGCATAATCATATTATCTAAAATAGAACAATCTGTTATTCCGTTTCACCAGACCGATACGATAGAAGCAAAATGAGTACGGTAGGAAAAAAGTGAGGAAACCCGAAAAAAGAATACAGTAATCCGAAAAAAAAGACACCGCCCGAGAGCACAGCTCAAGGGTGAGAGAGAAAATGGTGATAGTGATAAAGAGCTCAAGAAAAAAAAGAAATGACAATGACTCGACTCCTGGTAGGGGGAGGGTAACAATCGGGGGATTCAACAATGTGGAACGAGTAGAACTACCGGAAAAAATCAATAATCGATTGGTAGACACACATTAATGATGGCTATTTGGTCAAGCAGGAAAAACGTTTCTGTATCAGCGGCCTTCGCTAAAGTCCGCAATTGTGCGTCAGTCAATGAGTCGGTCTGCAACGTTGATGGGACATATGGTCCACCTTTGACATAAAAAACTATTTAGAATCTCTCTAATACAATTTCGACACAAAATTACGGAATGTTACAGAAAAATTCCAAAAATGGAGATATGATGAAAGAGCTGAATTGCATGAATCGTTACTTCTTTTCATCTAAAATTCTCCAAAATTAAACGATTCATGCATGCCATCTCTAAAAAATAGCAGCTCACAAAAAAAAGAAAGTAAATCTTTCTAAAAAACAAAAAAAAATATTGATGAACGACAATTGAAAAAACAACAAAAAAGAAGAAATATACAGATCAAAAAAATTGATGAAAAAAAANAAAAAAAAGAAAACAAGGAGATTGAGATGGTAACTCCAATCAATCACCTATAACGCAACAGATGAAGACACAACGATGATGATGATGATGAAGATGGCAGGAGGGCGATGCTCTGATCAGATGAGCTCCGCTTTGAATCGCTTCATCGGTGGTGGTTGCGTACGGTATTGAGTCTGAACCTGTTGATGTGGATGGGTGGTATACATGCGTTGTTGATGTTGCTGATTGGTAAAGTTAGCCAGTCGTACACCATTCGGCGGAGTGGTGTATACTATAGTCTCCGCTGATGGATAGTCGAGCTTTGGATCCTGAAAATTGCAACTGAACTAGTTAAGAACAAGTGAGCCAAGAGGATCAGTGCTGACTTATCGCAACTAGTGAATACGCCATGCATTCGCGTCCCGATTAGAATTTCAGTAATGATTCAAAGAAATATGCCATGAATGGCGTCCTGGGTAGGGCTTACCATTCTAGTGAGCTGATGTTTTCGTCCTTCCAAACCAACTTAATTCAAATAATAACCAAAATAACACTCGATTGACCCAACTTAAAGTTTCGTTAGGGATTTAGTTCCTGGACAAGAGTAAACAGTACCATACAGTGCTGCAAAGACCCCTCTTGCTATGATCGCTCACCCCTTCCTAAATGAGGAGTTATGCAGTGGAAATAATTCCGTAATCTGGGAATTGAATATGAAAATCACACTTGACGATCCCAAGTGGATCAGTGTCGGAAACCTGGCAAATACCAGGGCGGTACTCAGCATGCGGGTCAAAAACCGACTTTTCGGTAAGCACGATTCACCTGATAAGGTATTCACAATCTATTCACTCCTTTAGAACAGAAAAAGTCAATTCAAATAACTACTTCCGAAAGGAAATACAGTTTTCAGTTATTAAGAAAAGCACAATTTTGATCGTACAAAATAATCTCGAATCCAAATTTACTCACCGGTAGCAAATTTATTCCACCCGACCCAGTGCCGGACCCCGTTGTCTTCGAACCAACCCCTCGAAAACGGGCTTGCGTGGTCCCATCGGAGCCTATAGGCTTCGCAACAGCCATAGTTGGCTCATCAGGGATTGGTGCCTCTGGCACTTGGGGACATTGGCCTCCTCCTTTGGACACGTACTCCATAAGGGTTCGTGAGCGAGCTGTACCTGAAATGTTGGGATTGGCTAAGTGGACACAATGAAAAACGTTCGAGCAAGTGACGTGCCTTCTCCAGAACGATTCTATTTGAAGCATCTCGAATGAGCCATGAAGTCACAAAATACAGAACAAGGCGATAGATTGGACAGTACCTTGTGAAGGAGCTCGCCTTGACACCTCTTGCAGGCTGAGGTTATGTGGTTGACGGGCAGCTGCTCGCGAAGCCTCTTCGGATTCGATTGACCTCTGCTTTGACTGCTTAAAAGGAATTATCTGAAATCGCACCCAACTGTACTTCAGAACAAACTGCCACAAGATCAGATTCAACAGAAGCTTGTCGGAGTCAATCACTTGCTAGCAGTACTCACCAAAGGGTTCAGATGTGGTGCAACTAACAAACAGACCGAAAGCAGCAGAACCGCTAGGCATGTACCAGCTTGGGCTCCACGACGTGTACTCTGCAAAAGGAGAAAGTCATGAATAAGGAAAGAAAAGAAAA